CCCTTCGAGCATCCTCTGCTCTCTGAGAATCTTCTCCCAATCCTTTTACCTTACATAACAATAGAAAATGTGCTTCATAATCATCCCACCTACTAGACTCATCATAGCTTTGACATTTGAACTTCTCTATCTTTGATTGTAATGCGTCTTCTTTAGTTTCATACTTATCTTATTCATTGAAATAACTATTTCTTCTTTTGGTTCGTTTACTCATCGTCACCAATGTAGAATTACACTAAATGATATTCAAAATATAAAAGAACCATTTTATTGAATTCTTAAACACATCAAACTAAGCAGAATATTTACTAACAAACTTAATAATAATAAATCAGCTGATGTATTAATTACTTATACATTTAACTATCTAACACAACGCCTATTGTGTGCGTCATTGTGTGATTCCTTATTTGAAGGGTTTAAAAGATTATGCAAACCCGATGTAGATATCTTACCCCTAGCCAAAATGGCAGGCATTCCAAATTTTGAATTCGTGGAGTGGATGCTTTTCACATTTTGGCTAGGCATGATATATCTCAGGTTTGCATCATTGTATTTCTTGTGACAAACGCCTCAAAACAAGCGATCACTTAATAGGGGTTGTTATTTGGAAAAATAACTTACGCTCTCTCACCAAACCCTGTTAGGGGTGGTTAAAAATTATTTTTGATGTAAAATATTGCTGAACCTTTGTTTAAAATCAATGCCACAAACAGAATATTTCTATCTATTTTGGTTTAATAAATAATATAGATTTGTTTCCATTCTTAATTTACACACTGTATACGGTAAAAGCCAAGTTGTCCATGTTTTCCAGTATGACCTTTATGAATTATAGAATTTTTCATAAAATTGTCTTGAAACATTGAGATATTGTTACTAAATTTTATATGTGTCGATCATAATCTTGTAATTCGTCAGGGCTTTGTAAACTATCATGTAATATGGAATTCTAAAGTCAGAAAATATGCTCGGATATTCATATAACCATTGTTTCTACAATTCTACAAAATAGTATTATCAAAAAGAGGACGGAGTTGCTTGACGTTAGTGGCATAGGGCGGCTATTAAAGTAGCGGATTTTAAACCAGCGACCCGTGTAAGTAGCCGCAGACCGCTCTACTACACGCCAAGTCATAAAAGAGAATTAAATTTATACATTACATGCCGGATATAATTGATGGACAAAATTAATTATTCATCGCTATGATCAATGGATATAAAATATGTTATTCCTATTTATCGACAGTGTTTCTGGTCTTGAAACATCGTATGCTAATATTATAAACTATGTAAAACCCGTCGAAATCGACGGTTACTTTCAAGGCTTACGCTTATTCATCTAACTGCATAAAGTGAGTGAAATTATACATATTTCGAGCATTTAGCATTGTTTAAAGAGTAATAAGTTTAAAAACAATAATGATATTGATTGCGTTAGTTACCAAAATATGTGGTTGATCATTCAACGAATAAAATATTTTCCATACCGTACGTCATCGGAGTTATTATTAGTATGTTAACTGGTATCTCTTCTTCTGGAAGAACCTTTAAATAGTATTAAAATCGTATTGGTGGATCTTTTGTAGTTAAAAACTTCCCCGATTTCATTAGTGTAATAAAGATTAATCTATTATTTTATTTGAGAAAAAATATATGCTTGTTGGGGAGACACGTTCTAACTTCAAAGGGAGGTCCATCCGTCACAGTGTAAGTTTGATTTTTCCTTCGTCACGTCGCATCAGTTCATATAATAAATAAATCAAATAAATTGTCTGTATTGGTTCAAGCGTTAAGTCAATTTTACAAAACAGTTTTTCTCTTACAACTTTCGTCATCTAATATCTAACAAACAATGAAAAAAACAAATATAATTTTACGTACTTCTGTGCTAATGAATTACCCTCTAGTATAGTTTTGAGAAATTGGTTTTGGGGATATCGTACTTCTGTGCCAATGAATTACCCGCTAGTATAGTTTTGAGAAATCGGTTGTGGGGTTAATGTTATAGCTAATAAGACACTTCTGTACTTGTATTATTTTGTATTGTATTGCACAATCGAAGATTTTTCCAGTGATTGAAAACATGTATGACAATAATCTCACGAACCTATGATGAATTGTCTAAAATAGTATTATAAAATATAGCCAAAAGTGGTGAAAAAGGCAGACACCAACCCGTACAATAGATATAAGATAGTTCAATAAGAAATAATTGTAAGAGTTACTGTGATGAAAAGATTTTTCACTGATTTCGTAATGGAACGTTATATTGCAAAACATGCCATGATACAGAAGAAAATCAATTTTAAAAATCAGAAAATAACATTGCAAATACTTCTTTTGGACAATTCAGTAACTCCCTATAAAATGTGTGTTGTTTAAAATACAATTCAACAATTAATAGCTGTTTCATTAAAAAGTATTATCCACATGGCCAAAATGTAAACAAATCTGTCGAGGGATCTTTAAAGGTTTCTGGTGCAGAGCCCTAAGGGAATTTACTTTGTTTTTCTTTTGATAACTCATCTACAGACCAAGACATTTCTTTGGACACCTCTACCAAGTTTCTACGTCCAACCGTTCTCTCAAATGAGTGGAGAGTTTCCAATTAAATATTTAGATTCCCCATGTTAATCTTATGGGAGAAAGCCCAACTTTGATTGAAGATCCTGCCTAAACTAATAAAGATTTCAAAAAATGAAAAACACTTTACAGATCAGGGCCCTTTTTTTGACACTTTAATCAATTAAATCGGTCCAAAAATGAGGGAGGAGTTCTGTTTACAAAAATCGGCTTAGCGTATTATATATATATAGATAATGTGTATTTTGGAATTTAAATAGTCCTACTTACCGATGAAAATATAGAAACACGTATCAAACAGTACCTAGAGCTACCTATTTATTTAAGAATGCAATTTTTTGATAGAGTAGGCTAACAGTGAATTTGTGTCAGTATAAAAAAAATGTATATCGAAGAAGGAATAAATTAACATTGAAGAATACTAAATTGTATAACAACCCAGGTGCTGTAATTAAGTAGAAAAAAAATTTCAATTTAAGTAATAAACAGGGGTCCCGTAAGTAAGTAGCCTACAATGCACTCAGGAATAGATTTATTAGGTCTAAATAAAACAAAAATTACCGTATGTGTATTGTGTAACATTTTTTTTTCGAAAAACAAATCATTAGCGAGATATCTACAATTTTGTATTTATGTTTTTATCTAATATGAAAAATTCTCGTGTCACAGTGTTTGTCTGCAAACTCCTCCGGAACGACTTCACCGATCGTTATGAAATTTGGTATGTAAATTCTGTAGGTATGCGAATCGGACGTAAACTATTTCCCGTTTCGAAATTCTTAAAAGGGCTCCGCCCCAGTGGCTCTGGAGTTTCCCATGTTAACCTTATGAGAAATGGAATTAATGAATCTTAACAGCTGTTTCAATTAAACAAGTTGGTTCTGTTCTATGATGTTCAATAGCATTAAAGTTACAAGGATTACCAACAGGGTGCAGCACTATTATTTCTTTTACATTTATGACAACAGCTAATTTGCAACCAAAAGGTGAGTGAGCGTAGCGAACGAACTTCAACCTGGAGGCGAGTGAGCGTAGCGAACGAGCTAACCTGAAGGCAAGTGAGCGCAGCGAACGAGCTCCAACCTAAAGGTGAGTGAGCGCAGCGAACGAGCTCCAACCCAAAGGTGAGTGAGCGTAGCGAACGAACTTCAACCAGGACGTGATTGAGCGATGCGAACGAGATCATCTTGAAAATTAAACGTAACGGTACTTTCTTTCCATCGGTCTGTCTTAGGGGAAACCTATAACTTAGGCGATACGAAGTTCGCCGGGTCAGCTAGTTTATTTATAAAAAAATTAAGATATCTTTGTGAAACTTGGTAAACAGCTCCATTTCAGTTCTAGCGGGCCATCCCCCTTAGGAGGCAGTGCGTCACTGAATAATGTGTTAATAGTAGTATCGACAATAAATTTAAGATGTGAACCTAGGCGAGTGTGTTAAAAAAAGCTTCTACGATTGTGTTAATACTATTTGCACGAGTTGCGTACACAACTTTACCTACGAGTGTTTTCTAATTGCTAAAAATCACTATTCATAACTGGAAGGTAATGTTTTTGTTTATAACCTCTAATTGCCACTGATAGTGATAGAACAAATCATTGTACCAAAAACTAATTGCACCACTCAACAAATAAATTGACTGATTAGTTGAAGTTTGAAGCATTACAATTTCACTTCTTTTCTCTCAATCCTTGACCCTCATTGGTCCGTTACCTGTGTTGTTAAGTAAAAAAAAAAAACAATGCTTTTATAGTTTACGCAAAATATTGCGTAAAGAGTTAACGACACGAGTAGAAAATGAGCAATGGCTAGTGCCTAAAAGCTTTCCACGATGTTGTTAACACTAAATAATGTAATTTATAATAATAATATGCAGATGTATATCATTATATAATGTATTTAATAATCTAATATGGAATAAACCAAATCATTCTTCTATAAATTGAGCCATATTCTGTACTTTATTTGTCTTTGATTTTCTGAGTTGATCAATGTGATAATAATGTGCTCGAAACTGCCTACATAGCAAGTCTTCTGGAAATCAAAACCCCATTTAATGATAGTGGTAGAGTGGTAGTTAGCGACCAGCAGTCATATTGGCGGCAAATATCGTCTATCACGTGGCTTGGCGCGCCTCCATCACATAGAGTATAATAATTGGGCAGTATATATATATTTAACAATGGTTTATTTTAAAATTATCTACAGTAAACGGGTTGTATTAAGTGTATAGATAGTTTTACCTATTTCCATTCTAAACCCATTAAATGATGGTTTAAGAGTAGGTATAAATTATAATGTGTAAAAATTGAACACTTAAAAACTGAAACGCGTAGGAAAATAAGGCAAACATAATGAAAATGAAAAACACGTTTGGTTTTTATATCACAAATTGTAATAAAATTACAATACATTAACAATCATATATACAGTACAATACATATCCGAGTACCATATTAATTACTCAGGATAAGATACGAATATATTACCTTTCTTATCTCAGTATTATTTTATTACAGTGCAATACATATTACTAAGATTTATTGTGCTTTTTCTTACCTCGCTAGAGTTATAACTAAATGATTATATTACACTCACGGGGCTCATACCTTTAACATAATGTATATAAAGTAAAACCTAAATTCTCCAATCTGCTTACTAAAGTAATGTTATATAACATACTAAAAGCATTTCTCTAAAAGCATTACCAAATACTGAAGATATCAAATTTTAATGTATTTTATCCATCAAATTTGACAAACCATCCTCAGTATGCACTGTATTATAAAATACAGTACAAACTGAAAATTAATGCATTGATTACTAATTAATTAATAATAGCCTATCTATAGATAAACATCATATTTCCTATTAAACCAAAGTGTTCTAACAATGCATTGCCTCAGTAATTAAGGATGAAGTTTTGGTGGGAGAGGGCTAAGTAAAATAATCATTATTTGATCAAAACTTTTTTCCCCTATATCAGGTAATCTTCAGTGTAATCTTTGCTCAATACAACTACAATTTTTCACTTTGTACTATATTTTTTGAGTACACTGGCATTTTACTTTTATTTAAAGGTAGGTTTTACAATTTGTACGCACTTTTTTATAGTTTACATTATATGGACAGCTGTATTCAGTGGGTATTACCTATTACAGATAATTGTGTTAGAATTTATTATACTTATATTAAACAATATAGGCTTGAATTGAACTTATCTGTCTTCAGCTAATCCATCATTCAAGAGTATTTTAGAGAATATGCTCATGCTGAAGTTTATTTTTTACTTTAAAAACTTTTAATTTAGTACCAAGAGATAAATCTTACTCCTTATAGTAATTACCCTCCCTCCTAGAGACTCATGCTTTTATGAGCAAGATCTGATTATGGAGGTTTAACAGATTAAACAGTACTTTCAAAAACAAGGGGAAGAATATTGTTGTCATTTTAGGAATCGTAGTTAATTTTGGAGCTAAACATTTTATTGGTGGACCAGTATCGCAGGAAACTTAGAATGTAGCTGAAAAAACTAATTTGTTAACTAAAGGTCTGAGTACTGGACTTATGGAGTTTTAGGTTTAAAAGATTTGATCATACCTTTACAACAATAGTTTAACTATTCCCATAGACAACATACAGGATGTGTTTACTAATTTTCTTTTCCATTTAATGTCGCTGGTAGAAGTAAGGTCACCAAACCACACACCTATGTCGAGGGTTCATCGCATCATTGTCTGAACACCTGAAGATCTTAGAGAACTCAGGGAAGTTCTTGAGTGGACCGTTGACACGGAACTCTGCTGGAGAGTGAACATCTGAAGTAATCGTGAGCTTGAGTATCTGGGGACGATATCTGGTGCACCTTAATTAAATTACATGAATTCAAAATTCAAATGTATTGAGCTACGTTGTTTTCTTGTTAGATCTCTCCGTGGCAACATTATCCATCGAAAAATGGATGTAATCACTACTCTATATCTTGTCAGTGCAACAATATAAAAAAACACATAAGAATTTTACAAAATTTGTTCCCTATAGTAATATAATAGAATAAAATACGTCTCGTAATACTATAATTTATAGATGTACTTCATAAGTGTATAAGATACGTGAATAACATTAGGATACCGAGATAGTAAACAACGGATGTATTTTGTATAAGTACCTATAAAATACGAGCAGGTGAATAAGAATGGTAAACTATTTGAGTGACTACGTTTGATCTATTTAGCTCATCAGTGGCTGTCAACCTAGTCAATGAATGCCATCAAAATGTTCATTTTTAAACATATTTTCGGGGATCTTTAGGTAAAACTCCAAGGTCAGCATCCTTACAGGTTATATTTGTCGAGGGGTGCAAAATTCTACATTTTATAATTTTTCTGTACAAAATTGTTGCCTAAGACAAGAAGACCAGTACATGATGAGTTCAAACGATATGATTTGAATTGTATGTGAATTATGGCATCCACTTTTACTAAACCATAATCTCTGTGGAAATTTACGGTTGCATTGACGGAGCTGGCAAATAATCTGAGGACCCAGGAAAATAATGATACATTACATTTTTCCTAATAGCCTATTCGTAGCTTTGGTTAAAAATTGGCTTACAATTTGCTAGTAAGTTTAACTAGCTTACTTGTTTCACTTCCAATTTTGACTTTTACTTCATTACTCACCACATGGTGGCCATGCTGAGCATAAACAGCTGATCCTGGGTGTAGTTCTGCAGTCCTGGCAGACGAGGCTCGTTTAGGTTGAGTCTCTTGTAGGCTCGGTAGGCTAGTTTGATACCACCGTTATCCGCCAAATTCTCACCCTGGGTATTAATGCCGTTGAGCTGTAACAATGAAGTTGAGATGTTATAGTGTTCACCTACTAATTATAACATTGTCTGTTAGATCCTCAGATAAGTCAATGATGATTTTTTACCTAACTAAGCAGCTGTTATTGAGCACGTGGCCCAGGCTAAGAGGCAGATTATCTTAGTCAGTGACAAACATATGATTTGAAAAATTCATGGCCAAAAATAATTAACAAAATATCAGATCTAAGAACAGTTCTGGAAATTGAGTTGAGTTTTTTTTTCCGGGAACAAGATTTGTTTTAGGAACATTTAGTGGTGGTTGTACATTTTCCTGTAGATTAAAACACCACGTTATTCTCTCTTGCAAACCTCATTGTGGTCTGTGCAGCTATGGTAAAGCAACTAGGCAAGCTCAGAACCACCTAAAGCAGTAAAGCTTTAGGCGCAACATTATTGATCTTTTTCTAGAGTCTATATTCAAAAAATTCGAAAGAGGATATTTCTAGGATCATATTATTAAACCCAAAGCTAGCTTATAAGACAATAATTAGCACATTTCTTCGGCTCCGAGAGACAAGAACGTGTACACATAATCCTCGTCCAGCTAACAGTTGTGGAAATTATCCTCAAGACCAAACTCTATATCTCTCAGATACTAATTAATTTGATACTGCTAGGTTACTTCTCACTGTTTTTTTCCTTTTCTGTAAGCCTCTTTAAAGTGTGTGTTTCAGGTCTAGTAGTGCGTTCTGAACATGGTGTATCAATCCTGATTTTGGAGCCATAAATAAATATTACACACCAAAATACATTCAACACACTAATACCAGTATTAAAACCAAAGCCAGTATTAAAATCATTGGGCTCATACGTTAATAGACAAATGACAGCGTGTGCTCAATCTTAGTGCGACATTGTTCCGAAAAGCATAACTCCAAAAGAGCTTGCGTTGTCAGGCACTGCTTAGAAAGTCATAATGCATAAATAAAAAAAAAAGAAACCATAGAAAGTCATAATACTCTGATCCGCAAACACTGTTCCCAAAAAACTGCCTTTCGGAGCAGTGAAGGGGATCTCTGTATACTGTCAGTGAGTACTACCTACATGCAAACTAGTCTTGGAGTCCACAAAGTTGCTGTACTGGTCTATGAAACATCGCTTCTTCTCGTTGAATATATTCCTGCTGCCTTCGGTCCACCATTCCTTGAGGTCTCCGTTGAAGTCAAACTGGCTACCCTGTGACATGACAAAATATCATGTTAAACAGGAACTGGAATTTCAGGATCATAAAATGATAGTAGTTCATAAAAGCGGGTTTTATTAACTCACTAACACACACGTGGGATACCTTTATTCTCATACTAACCCTATATTCTTTAAACCTATACTCTTATACTACTAGTAAGCCTGTTCTGCACGTATTATATCACCTAAAAATGATTAACAATTAAATATGTTTACCTAACTAATGTATCTAACTACTACTTCCTACGACGCGACGTGGACCTGTTTGCCTCCCATCCCATATAATTTTAGTATTGCAGGTATATTAATCTAACTGCCACAAAGGTTCCCACACAACGCAATGCTCCCTTTGACAGCTTCCTTCGCCCCTTCCTGTGTCGTGGGCCTGTTTCCCTCCCTTCCCACAGCAATTTAGTATTGCATATACACTGCCAGAAGTGGTTTCACACTCCACACTGCTTGCATTTACCACTTCCTTCACTTCTTCCTACGACGTGGACCTGTTTCCCTCAATTCCCATATCATTATAGTATTGCAGATACATTATACGAACTGCCACATTGGGTTCACACACTTCTAACTGCTCACCTTTACTACATCCTTCACCACTTCCTACGACGTGCCCCTGTTTCCTCCATTCCCAGAGCATTTTAGTATTGCATATACATTAATCTAACTGCTACAAACGGTTCCCACACTCAACACTTCTCGCCTTGACTACTTCCTACACCACTTCCCACGTCGTTTACCTCATTCCCTCCCTTCCCAGAGCATTTTAGTATTGCAGATACTTAAAACTAACTGACACAAACGGCACTGACACACTCTGCACTGCTCACCTTGACTACTTCCTATGACGTGGAAACGTGGCGCACTTCACTTCGCTGTTTTTTTTTATATCTAGTTTTTGTGATATTCCTATGTTCGCACTGCTGTCAATAACAGCGTTACTGTCAAGAAACGTCAAAAACATATATTCCTTTATTTAGAAGATTTATCTGGACATTCTTTATAGCCAGGTAGAGATGATGACTTCAGAATAACATAAACTTATGTAGCCAAGCGATCCTCTGTCCTAATCAAACACTACTTAAAAGCACGAGTTTTTTAAGAAGCCAAATGTTGGACAGTTAGAGCTTAACTATTGGCATAGAAAGGCAAAAGTATTAAAATTCCGACTCGCCAACAAGACCAACCTGATCGTCAAACCCATGGGTTATCTCGTGCGCCATGAAGAAGCCAATCGCTGCGTAGTTGACATATTTGGGCAGCTTTGCGTCGAAAAATGGCAGCTGCAGAATGCCAGCTGGAATCACTGTGGAAAACGTAAATTATTTGGATATTTGCAATAAGCTAGATTACTAAAAATAATTTGTTTTTGCTTGCTAAATCTCAAAAAATTAGAACGAGAAAGTATGAATTATAAATGTAAACAAATTAGGGAACCAGCCCGAACCTCATAATAATAAAATTAGCAGGGCTGGTTTATAAGACGTTTTTTTACGTATTAAGGTTGCTGGCTTAAGTTTTTTGACACTGAGCACAACTAGACTCCAACTGGAGGGTGAATTGCATATGAAAGAGACGTTGGTCAACATATGTACATTGGAACTAGAGGATACAAATGGGAAAGTAATAAAATTTATACTTTGGCTTGGTTGTAATGTAAAAACTTAATTCTACATGTTCTAAGCCTTAAAACCATCTGTAATATCACAAGAATATAACTGAAATACGAAAAAGCCAATGTAGTGTGTCCATAAAAGCCTCAACAGAAAACCATCTGAAACTCACAAATAGAGTTCTCATAAGATTTGTATTCGGCGTTGACTATGGCTACATCACTGTGTTCCCGCCAGTCTGTATTGTTGACAGGTTCCCTCAGCTGTCTGTAGGCGTAGTTTTCTCCCCATCTGGACAACTTCAGTCTCTCCTCTAGGTAGTGTTTTCCGTCCAAGACCAGCTACAATCAGCTGATTAGTTGAGTACAGATATAATTGATATAGAGATGTTTGACCTCTCAAGAACACTAGAGGAGGATTGTGGTTTGCTACTAATAGTGTCTGAAGCTGAAGATCAACAGAAGAATAAAATGAATAAGAAAACAGCAGAAAAAATTGGGACAGGATGAAATCATTAAAGAGTCTGAAGAATAAAATATCTCATTTTAAAGCTATTTTGCTACATTTTAAATTTAATGGTTATTGTTTTGTCAAACTACATAAATATTAAACTGTGATATTTTTCTACCTCTAAAACAAAAGCTTTAAAGATCCGAAAAGTAATTCAAAGTGAAGGCCATAAAAAACCCAATCAAACTGTAAAGGCTTCGTCATCTTAGGAACAACAAGTTTATACGTTAATGTAAAATGTTTCACCTTAAAATAAAGATAGTTTGTAAACATAGTGTGTCGTAAAATTAAATGACTAGTGTATTTCAACATACTCCTTCATATAACTGCTCAATCTTGGATATATCCAACAACTCGTCGGGATATCCAATGTATTCCTGGATCTTTTGAACCTTGTACAGAGCTTGGGACCTGAAAATGCACATCCAAATCAAATCTTATTTTAAATTAGGATGGGAAATTTTGTAAATAAATTATTTGGAACGTGTCTTTTTACAGTAATAGTTCCTCCAAAAATTAAAGTGAGGGATGGATATGTATTGAATAAATTCAGAATGGCATTTGCATGTATTGTTTACTTTCTTAATAAATAAGTCTGGAAACTCAACATTTTAAAGGATATTCTTGAATAACATTTCAGGTTAATTTATACTAGGTATACCTATAGTAGAGATTAGCAATGTGTAATATAGCCACAGACAATGGACCACTAATGGTCTATGGTCTGTGATACAACTCAAAAGAGAAAATGTAATAAGAATGCAAACAGTTAATTATTGTGCTTTAAACTTTTTCATTTTTTCTTATTGATTCCTCATCGGTAAGCTACAACTAAGGAACTCGCCTTGTTACGTTGTCCATCCAGTCCACTTCTTGAAGTACTTTGTACATTTCCTGCCTTATCTTCTCCGCCATATCGAAAGCTTCCTTTCTCGACGTTTTGTCAAAAAACCTCTTTACATACAGTGAAGCCAGTGCTATTTTAAGGCTGAAAGCATAAAATTGTGAAACTGGTCATGCTTGAGTAGAGTTAAGGAACTAAACGTATTTGCCTATTTAAACCTGTATGCAAACAATATATGGAGTTCTTTTTGATCATGCTTTGGAATACTGGTTGCTGGTGGGGTTTTGATTTTTAATGTATGATTATATCCGACCGGTATGGACAAAGTGAGTAATTCCATTAGTTACATAATCTCTAACTTGACTCTTTAAACTCGTCGAAAATTATGAATATTATTGGTTTGAAAATCATGTAATACTTTTCAATTGCTCAAATTTGAGCTAAATGTACAATAGTATATATATATATATATGTATATATATATAGTACAGTAGTATATTTTCTTTCGCGTATTCTATACCGTTGGCATTAAAAACTCCCTTATTTTAGAATGAAATCCAAACCAATAATGAGTTTAGTTTAAGCCGAAGATCGAACCCCCAAACAGCCTCTGGAGGTGTTCAATCAAATTCAGTAATAAACTACAATATTTTTAAAGCAATTAATTTAAAATACTTACTCTCTATTAGCCACGCCTACACACTCCTTCCATCTAGGATCCCTGGCCGTGGTACCTAGTAGGGTGCTCTTGTACTCCTGCTTTCTGTTCCTCATCTCATCCGTAAGCGCTCCTGACAATCCATTAGCAGCGTGCCAACCCATGTAGTTGGCCAACACTCTACAAGACAATTGGATATCTTTGTAAGTTATCTTTGTTATTGAGACAGCAATGACAAATAAGTACTTATGAGGTGGAATGATGGAAGAATGTAGACTGGAGTAAAATTATATGTGTTTCTTTGCTGTTAACGGTATCAAATAACTTCTTAGTCAGCATTAAACGTGTTATTAAATTTACGGAAAGTAAATATAAGAAACGTCTGATAACACCTAAAACATATGTTTACGAATATTCTGTTACTCACAAGACGGTAAATATACATAAAAGATGGCAAGTGGTAATCGATTTCGATTGGACACTCCAATCATCACGAGACACAATAGGCGAATGACCCACCGAGACCTTTTTAAAGAGCTTTACAAAATAATTAGGTATATAAAAGGGTTTTTGTAAGATTATTGGTAACGGAGAAAATGCAAAATATTGTAAATTTAAAACCCCAATGTTATTATTATGGAGAATACTGTAAAATGTTGTAGTTTGCTTGTTGATCAAAATATATCTGATAAAACTTGGCAAATTCATTTATTTTATACTAAGCTATTATTATTTACTAAAACCCCCACTTTATTAGTTTTCTTGTAGCAGCAAACCTAGGAACTCGTTAAACCTTAAGTTAATTAAATAGATTTAATTTCAAATAAATTCAGACAAATTGAAACTCGCTTAGTCGGTAGGTTTGCTGCAGCGTGAGTATTTACAGTACCGGCTCAATTAGAAGAAAACACACTACTAGATGTATTTTAGTGTTTCACTATTTACAACAAAACATGTGTCCAAATATTAATGCTCCAAGTTGTTTTACATATCAATTAATTAAATTATGCTACAAGTAAAAAATCTTCCACAACATAGTGCAGAGCATCTCTCTGATGATCTCTGCTTGGTGTTAGGGCCAGAGAACGGCTACCAAAGTAGTTCATATCAAACCAACGGACAAAAATATACCGTGACACACTATTAATATCATTCCGTCCGGATCGGTGTACGGACCCCTGACACACTATCGAACTCCCTTCTCCCTTCTCGATTCGGGTTCTTGGTCAGAGAAAGGATCGATAGTGTGTCAACGTGTTAACGTATTGAGATATTAATATGAAGCAAAGTAGTGTTTTGAGGTTTACTTACTGGTTTGGGTGCTTAGACAACAACTTTTCTAACTCCTTCAGAAAATTGACTTCCTTCACGTTCATCATTTCATTTTCCCGTAGTGGAACGTCTTCCGGCATGATACTTTTGAGAAGTTTCTTCCAGTCAACCCATGGAATCTCCTTTGTGAGATCAGGAAGAGTATAAATGTTGTACATTCTGTCAAAATCTCTCCGTTCTTCATTTGGAACAGTTAACTGAAAAATTTTTAAGTTTATCAATTCAATTATTATAAATTATCAATTATTTAAGATGGGGCCGCCACTATGTTTGTATTTTAACTTAAATATGAGTAAAGGATGAGTGAAGATGAGTGGCGCAATTTTGCAGTCTTGTTAGTGACTAAGTCTATCATATTATTTAGACTCAGCTGTTAATTAATAGCCCTTAAAGCTAATAGCAACTAATGGACCTACTGTTTATAGTGGAAACCAAACCACATTATTGCCTTATTATTAACTAATTAGTCTAATTATCTGCAGGATAGTACTGAGGATATTCGTAGCACTAACTAGTGCGGACGTCAATCCACACAAGTGAGTATCGCATCCACAGTGCATGCCTATAAATATCCACAATTCGTGACCTCCTAGTAGCTGGATTACAGGACAACGCCACCGTCCCAGTTTGAAAATAACTAATTAATTCAAAGTCGTCTGAATACTCTTAAGAGAGGTGTGACGCTGAAATGGGCTAGCTAAAAGATTTGAGATTCTTGAGAGCCGATAAAGAATATGCACATAGAAAATAGGTTGGAGAGAAAAAAACTTTTTGGGCGTGACAGTGGGACTAAAAGTAAAAATATTTGTACCAATTCATATATGTTTTTTGGTATTTTTTCCCATTTAAACACATATTATACAGCGTAGACAACCCTTAAGACGAATTAAGGTTCTGTGAAGGGCTCATTCAATCGTATAACTTAGCAAGACTACAAAGAAGAATTTTGTATTTTCTCGAATATCCAAGCTTAAATTGGAAGAGGTTTAACAAATTTAAACTTCTCTCAAATTTATAAAATGTGTAATTGATTTTACTGAAGACATGTAAATAAGTAGGATACATTTTAAATTTCAAAGTTTGTAGTATGTTCAAATTTTAAGATCTTAACGTCTAGTACGGGTGATACCACTAGTCCAAGTTTTGTACTACATGTATTATTAACATTGCAATCGCTCTAATGGTCGTGTTTTCTGTTTGTTCCCACAAATTTACACAAAACATATATAACCAGTATAAGCCTTTACCTTGTACAAAATTCATTAATTTTGGGGCCCAATGGTAGTTAAAATGTCAACTCATCAAAATGACTGAAGTATAAGGCTGATACAACGTATATATGACAGTCTTCATTACCAAGATTATCTTTAAGCCAACTTTGACTAGTGGTATATTTTAGATGAAGACATCCATTTACAAAATATTGATAGAAAAACTCAAATCATACCTTGGCAAGTTCTATCTCGAACAGCAGACAGTCCCTTAGCTGTTTTTTAGCAGTTTCCCTGTCAGCCCCGTACAACACAGCCATATCTACCATGTAGTTGTAGTAGTCTTTCACTGCAGGGTCCTCCTCTCCCCTGATCAAATAATCTCGGAAAAGGCCTAGATTAGCCTGGTCTACCTGTCACATTGAAAAATATAATAACTGAAGTATTAGTGAAACATGGGAAACGCTTGATCGTGGGTAGCTGAGGGGTAACAGTAATCACCCAGCAATTTTAAGGACGAAGGCTCCATCCTCAGAAAAGTCTGTAGTTTTTTTTATTATATAAATCTGGACCAGTTGTATTTCATCAGGCTTTTAATAAAAGGTCCTTGCTACAGTAACTCCTAGGCTTGGTTGGAAACAAAGCTACACGAGGCATCTTACTCATACATTCTTATTTATTTAGGCCTAGTTTCATCTATACGTAACATAACACATAATGTATATGATACCTCATAACATGAAATACAAATGTTTGTTATGATATGTCTAATTTAAATTCATTCTACAATTTATTTCAAAATTTTATTGGTGAATTAGGTTTTTATTCTCAAGAAAGAAACAATAAATTGTAAAGGATATATCGGAATGGAAGCGGTAAAGTTAATGACAGGTTCTCTTTACTATACAATTAATGGTAAAATAGTAAACCACTCAATTTACTAAATAAAGTATTTATCAATATCGGTTAGTCAGTTTTAAATACGAACAGAATCAAATTAAATATATAATTGGTTTATCCTAGGCAAAGCCATGCACACAAAATGATAGTAGCCAAAACATTACAATCACAAGATTTCATGTTATACTTTATCTCTGTCCCAAACCTAACACAATTTTCGTTGTGCTAAATTTGGTCAAGACTCAAGAGGACACTAAACCGGTTCATAATTCCAAGGGAGTATAGTAATGATATAATCAACCACTTCTAATGGTAAAAACTTTTGTTTTGAATGATATAAAATTGCTGGAATCAATATATAAATATAATGCAAAGCATACTAAAAACCAGACAGTACACACATTTTATAAGATAAAATTCTATTATAGAGTACCATAAGAATCCTGCGGGTTGTATTCTTGGTATCGATCGAGATGTAGACGTGAAAGAGGTTGCCACCTCCAATAGAGAGATTTCTCAGTTTTATTTCAGTGTCAAGGAAATCCCAGTTTTCTTCCTGCCAGTTTCCCAACACAGGCCATCCTCCAGCTTTCTGCAGCAAGGCTACAGCGTGGCTTATACCTCGACTGTTGATGGCCTCTGGATAAGGATTTGGAAATTAGAACAAAAACTAATACTGAGAGCACAATGTTGTTCTTGTATGTTGCAAAATTTCATTGCATCACTCGTTTACTTGTAGTGCTAAACAAATAACAATCTTTATGGCTAGACTTTCAAACTTTTTATTTTCCAGCTATAGGGGTTGTTTTATATATGAATAATTATTTTGTTCGATTTCTCACTCACCTTCGTCCATGCATAGTGAGAATAGATTCTTCAAGTTTCTATACGGCAATGGATCGTCAGGGTTGGGCTTTTCAGAAAGAATAACTTTCAGTTGTTCCTGGAGCTTGACTTTCACTTGAGGAATTGATGAATTCTCGGCCTGAAATATATAATCCAGTACACATATCTACAATTTTATATACTGAGTGAATCAGACTATCCGTGCACAATGGTATGGCCCACCAAGCGATAAAAAGCGACCTTTTTTTATTGAAAATCTGCCATTTAATTTGTTTCTGGGTCCCAATTTTAAAATGTCACTTTAGGCACTTTTCTTTTAATATTGTAATTATTAAAAGTACGACTATAAGTCCGAAAAGCATTTAAACAATTTTTAACATGTCGAAAATCCAAGAAATTTTACAAATTTTACAAGTAGGTTGTTTTTAAAGGTGAAAGAGTGCGATTAAAAAAAAGAGTGTCTTGTAAAAAATTTAATTCCTTCTGTGAAAATTCTTTCAAATCTTTGCTAGCTCTTCCCATATTTGAGCTATAATCGTTAAAAAAACGTGTTTCTCAAAAAAGGGGACTTAAGGAATTTTTGGGGAGGGTTATAATTTGAAAGTGTTTGAAATTGGAAAATGTAATTTGTAAATGAAAATGGGGTGCAATTTGTCCACCCTGTATATGACGGCTTTCATTATTGACAACCATACGAAATCATTACATCTCAAAATCTCAATAGAAATATAACAGTGACTGACGGTGGCAGGTAAGAAAAGTTATAATTAATTATCCCGTTTAAACTTCTAACAATTACACCAATTATAATGCTATTCCGAAGTCAATTATACGAGAATACTTTTTAGGGAGGTTAGTAGCTTAAATTGTGAATAAGGTTCGGATATCAAGAAAGTATCCGGAACTTGAAAAGAATCTTGTTATAAAATCCTTCTACTCCATTCAGTTAAGAGAGTGGCTTCCAAAAACCGTTTGATTTTTCATAGTTTCTTGTTTAATAAATTGCTTAGTATTCTTTAAATTATTGATTTGAAAGACATTATAAAATATAAATGTAAATTGGATTTTAATATTTCTTTGGTCTTTCTGTTGTAACCACAGTAGGGCCTCCATATTTTCAGTAAGTGTAAGAACGTGAACGTGATCCCAAATCATATACAGGGTGTCCATAAAAAACATTTCATGTAAATTATTTTCTATCTTGGACATTTATCAAGATAGAGATTTAAAATTTTGTATAAATGTGTAGTTCTAAAATTGAAAAGAACTGTGAAAATTTCCTTCCAGTATCTCCAGCCGTTTCAATATGGCGGCCATTTAAAATCTTTAATGCTAAATTTCATGAAAACCGTAAATATAAGATCATTTTTACCTTACCAAAAGGATAGAGGATTTTAATATAAATCAAATGAGACCGTGTTTGTAAATATTGGATGAAAAATAACTTTTCTACATTCGGTTACGCAATTTAACAGGACTACCATGTTCTCAAGTTAGTATGGTAGTACTTCTAAGTAGTACTTCTAGGTAGTACTTCTGATAACTCAGTTATTTTTCATCCGATTTTAAAAACAAGGTCTCATTCGATTTGTATTAAAATCCTCTATCCTTTCGGTAAGGTAAAGAACTTTCTTAATATATACGGTTTTTATGAAATTTGACATTACAGATTTTAAATGGCCGCCATATTGAAACGGCTGGAGATAGTGGAGGGAAATTTTCACAGTTCTTTTCAATTTTAGAACTACACATTTATACAAAATTTTAAATCTCTATCTTGATAAATGTCCAAGATAGAAAATAATTTATAAAAATCACAAACAGACCGACAGACAGAAATCTAGGCACTTTAGACCCATACTTATGGTTTTATGTTTGTCTTAGCCCAGGGAACAAGTCCACTAAATATGTCCGTACAATTCGGAAACACCTATCTATGTGATTTGAACATGAAAAATTTATAAGGTAGCTTACTGGGGCTGTTTTATAGGGCATAAAACAGCCCCAGTAAGCTACCTTATAAATTTGCCCTTTTGCCTTTGGAAAGTCAAATCTTTGACATGCGTAGCTAGTGCTATCAATGATTTATAAATTTGAAAATAACTTTTAAAAACAGCCGCTTACCTGGTCATAATCTATTTCAGCAGTGTCCTCAAAACGTCTGCAAGCGAATCTGTAGAAGTCATCGCAAGGCCTGGCACTGAAGTCTATGGAACTGAGCATTCTTTGAGCTGCACAAAAAACATGGTTTTGCTTTTTTTATGTCATGTAATAAAACAAAATATTTTTATCAATTTCAGGACGAAAATGTAAAAATGCTTTTGACTTTGGATTTTAAAAATCCGCGTATAACTTTTGGTAAATCTTATATTATCCACGCCACTGTATTTTTCCATCAAAATAATTATCAATTATCTTTACGCTATTAGTATTTTTTTCTAGGAAATTATAACTGATGGGGACAATTATTATCATTAATTATAATGAGGAGACAATCAAAATCCAAAAGTTTGCGTAAATTTTGTCGAAGGGTAGTACGGTTGTACATATGTTTGTAATAATGAACTTTACATTTGTATTAACATAGGACATGTTGTTTGACTACTGTTTATCAATTAGCATTGATCTTAATTTAGTTGATTCAAGAGTTATTCAATTAAGCTTAGCCTCAATCCGGCTTCATGATACTTTATAGCTCTAGTTTTGCTATTGATATTTTTGTTATGAGTAACAGGTTTACTAGTTGGACATAAATATTTATATAATCAGATTGTATTTCCTTAATAACGAACTTACGTTTATTGTATTCATTTTACTTACATAAGGACTCGCATGCTTCAGTTTTGCACACATCCATCTTTGGTTTACAAGTTTCCCCATCTGAAAAGTAAAAATATTTTTAGATCATTCATTTTGTTATGGGCTAAAGATGTACTATATAGATGTGACGTCACGTCAGTATTGATTATTTACGTCAATATTGTAGTAATAGCACTGGAAAAAGGTAGTAAACTATGAAATTTTCCTAATTCTTTACTGACTCTTTCTTCGCTTTAGTATTTCAATTCAAAGTTTAAACTCCAGTGCAAATTATTATACGTAGACATTTTTCACGGACTGTTCCTTAGCTTTAATCTATAATAAAGTTTATTTTAAGTTAAATTCAATTTCACTGTTCTAACTTAAATTTTAACCAGTATAAATGTCTTATTTTACTTACTTTTCAGAATAATTAGAGTTACGAGACCAAACACTACCTCAGAAGTCCTAACCATGACTATTGTTGGTTTATTTTTGTCCGTGCTTATCAAATAGTTGTTATATAGAGACTGTTGAGTCCGTGACAATCAGCTTTTTAACTGTGTTGAGCTGATGTGCATTAGTACCATAGGCCTATCGCTATCTATATCATCAAACCGTTCACATGTAAAAGAGTTACATTTAACTACTCAAAGATTGTAATGGTAATTTTGAAGAGCATAAACGTTGGGTGTTACTAATGGAAAGCTCTTACAATACACAGTAGAGGTTTATTAGAAACATTCACAAAGCACAACTGTTTAATTTGAATAGCAACTGAGTTTCAGATGACAAATATTATTATTTTTATGTCATTTTTTTATTTTTTTCGCTTTTCAATACTTTAAATTTCCTTGGAGAGGCACCAATGACGAATACATTCTCAAGTATGTAATTCAACCTTGCAAAATCTCTAGCTTAACGTCTAAAAGTCCTTCTTTTATCATATCTTGCTGTATGGGACAAAAACTGTTAAGAACTTTATACTGATTACATTTTCCTGATTTGTAAATATTTTTGAATTAGGGTTGGTTAAAATTACAATATCAGTTAGGAATCGAAGAAATAACAGAAAAAAAATTAGTAGCATCAGTAATTGTTATGAAGCAATGTAACATTGTCGGGAAGGTATATAAAACCAATTACTATAACTACCCCTAAACACTGAGGGGTCAAAATTTAATCACAATTTATGAATCAATTTAACTTAATTATATAAATCGTGTCGTCCATTTACATTAATTTTATTATTGTATATACCGATGCCCATTTATCTACATAAATGCAGCAGTTTAAACCGTTATGATACATGTTTTTAGAAAAATAAGTCAAAGTTGTAACCAATGCTTTATTCAGCCTCGGGAATACTTATAACCGGGAAGTGTTCCGTTAACGCCGCCTCAATAAAGCTTGCCTGAATGAAAACCTGCTTTATCTTTTATCAACAGTTTCACACATTCATCCCTTGAGCAAAGTAGCAACCCTTAGCTCCATTCAGCTTAAATACGGTTGCTGCATTTAAACTAGGGTATATGAAACAATGAAACCAACAACATCCATATTAAGCTCATACAAAGTTCATAAAGTTAAGCTTAGTAGATGAGTGGTTAATGCTTGTAGTTATAACAGGTTTGCCAGTTGATTTAATTATTATTGAGTACAATTAATTAAATATGAAATTTTACAATTAAATGCGGGTAATCTGAAGTGGTTAAAAATATAAGTAGTATGGGATGTAATAGTTTAAGAAATTATTTGTTGGATTTGTAAACGATTATTGAATATTTCCACATACTTGTATCGGTAAACAATTCAATCTATTTCATTGGAATTACATTTATATCTACCAAGTATTATGTAACCGTTACACCTTCTAATTTAGAACTGAAATCACTTCACATAACCCAAATCTGGACTTGGTTGTGCATTCTGGACAACCAATCACAAAAGATCGTAAACCAAAGAGTTGCAAAACTGTGGAGATTGTGATCGATCTGTGATATTCCTGGGTTTGCCAGAGGGGTTACTTCTTGGTACAGTGCTTTCCTCGAGATATTGCGCGAGAGATCTTCATAAAATAAATCTGCTTGAGTTTGAAAATGCAGCAAAGTGGAACTGTTATAGTGTTGTAGTTTATTTGTTCAGACCAATTTAAATTAAAAACTTGTTTAAGTATTTAGGTACAATGATATTTTTTTATTTATTGAAACATGTTAACTGAGTATTCAAACTATATTACTACTTTCATAATTAAAATCTTGCATTAATTTACTCAATATATGAGGCCATCTTCGTGAAACATAGAGATATTTTTCTACCAGATATTGATTGAAAGTATGTCTCAATAATTTTTTTTGAAATTCATTAGGGCTCTAAAGGTTATCATGTTAAATCATAATATTCATTTTCGTTTTGTTTAGATTTGAATGTTTGTGTCAATGTATACACAAGAAAATATAAAACCATTAGACAATAGTAATTGTTTTTCTCGATCGTTTTAAGTGCTCGACTTCGTCTCGAACTTCAAAGCTATCTCCAGCTGGCTAAACCTCATTTTCGGCCCGTGGTACGAACGCTTTTTTTCACCACACTATACCCTATTACCACTATTCACCACAATAGTAATGCACACTGATAGTCAACACAACTACAACTTAAAGGTTATGTGAAGAAATAATTTGAGGAATGAGTAGTCTTCATATTCCTCAAAGTGGAATTCGTCAAAATTTCAATAATAAATAGACAAAAAACACACACAAAAAGACAACTTTTGACGAACTCCACCGCGAGGAATATGAAGACTACTTGACATTCTTCTGACCTGATGATGTGCTCCATTCGAAGCATGGAACAGCTGTAGTATTACTAACTCCAAAGTATCGTTTTGCCAGTAACAAGGTAATCTAAAGCACTATTTAAAACGAATCCTCAACAGCCATGCAAACTTTTTCTTAGCTCGAGATATTTCGTGGGGACCGATTTTCTTACGGAATTAAATATTTATATATTATTTTTGGTCTTAAATAAAGAAAATTCGACAGCGAACTAGAGCCAGAAATTAAAATTGTGTTAAGCTAATCCATTAAAAATGGTAAATCGATAAGACAGTTTAATTCGTGATTAAAATAGGAGGACAATAGAAACTATAACCTCTACGCGTATTTTACAAATCAACAGTCAGCAGGAAAATAAACATTGTTGATATCAAATCAGAATCGTGTTTTATCATAATTGTTTACAAATTCTAGTAGCAATACAGTTATCAAAACGAGTCCTTGTTTTTGGCAGTTAAAATAGATCGTTTTTATTTAAATAAAAAAGAGTATACTGTATAGCTGTATAAAATATCTTTGAGAAATTATTTGTAATCATTATGTATTTAAAAACTTAATATAATCCCTTAGTGATGAAAAGGTTGATAATAAAAATAAATGTTTGAAGATATACTAGTATGATCATTAAACAAAATTTTTATATTCAACGGAACTCAAGGGAGATTGATTTTAATTTTAGTTAGTTGTTACTGCAGTTAAAAAATACTAACTAATTCCTTTATTTTCGCACAGCATTGCGTACATATTAAACATATCCAAACTAAATTTGATACAAACATTATTTGTAGAATATTCCTGTTAATTGAATGAACTACTTAAAATTAAAATACAACTTTTTTTATTTTTTCTACCGAATTAAGATATTTTATTATGTTGGTATCCAAGTGGTTGTATTTCTTACCACCAAATAATTATGGTTGCTAAACCAGCACCAAAAATGCATCAATTCCGAGCCCAGATAATGTTAGTCATTGGGCAACTAATGATGTCCACGTTAGATTGTAGCTAAACAAGGATTTGGGTGATTTCCTTTCACCAAAAACACACACAAAACAATCAAAATTCCACATCATTTAAGCTGTGGTTAATAATGTTATTTATCTAAACCAGCCATTTCAAAGTAAAGTATTAAATTTTATACAAATCGTAAAAATAATTAAAACTCGTAACTAAACATGAATTATACAAAGAAATTCCCTTTGACCGATTTTACCCTGATCGTCTGTAAAAGTCATATTTGTTGATCGTCCAGGCAAATGCCGCCCTGACAAATGTTTAGCCAATATCCCCATATGTTCCAGATGGTTAACCCTTTACGCTTTGCTGGCCTTATCGCCTAACGGAAAATCCGTTTGTGAATTTGTATTTGTGTATCATAAAAAGGCGTAGTAAACTCATGCAACTGATTCGTCCTTGCGTAAAATTAAAATCTAAAACATATTATGTGTAAAAAGAAAATATACAACTGCACGGTAGATTCAGTTGTATGGAAAATGTAGCTATTCGAATTGGTTTTTAGAACAATGGTTTTCTTGTACGGTAGGTCATTGTTTATTACAGAGACATTATTACGTTTGATCACATTGTAACTTTTTAAATGAGAGCTACGGAAACTTGGATCCATAATTAAATTATAATATATAAGAAAACTATATTACTAAAACTATTTTAGGTAAAAAAAAAATAATTACCTTTTTAATATTAGGTAACCTTTCACACATATTTTAAACATGAATTCAATATTGCTTTGTAGATCACAAACTATATAAGAATTGGAAATATTTGTAGAATACAATTGCAGAAGGAGGATTGATTAAATTAAAGAAGCTTTAGTGTTCAACTTTTTCCTTTGTTGAGAAGAATCTGTTTAAGCTCAGACCTGGCATGGCCCAGGCCGATTAAGTATTTAATTTGCAGTTCAAATTAAGGAAGTGCCATTTACAAACACGCTCTCTGCGGTTTTTACTATGGTTTATTTTTCTGTGTCAGTTGTCATGTTATTGCAAATACTGGATGCTAAACCGACTGCATCGTTAGATTGCAAAAGGCTATGGTATATTTTTTATGGTATTGGTGGTGGTATATTTTATTAACTGGTAGGATTTTATGTCTATTTATTTGGATATTTTTATATTTACCTTTTATTATAAAAATATACTATTGTATTTAGCTACTTTGAGACAATCAGTTGTATCTAACGTAACAGTTTTATACAACATAAATAAGATACTCTTCTTTACA